TGATAGAAAGTGAATGAATATGGAAGATTTACTGCTATGTGAAGCAAGCCAGGCTATCAAAGTGGCATTGTATGTACACATTTAATATGTACTGAATGTCTGCACTCAATGGCAGAAACTGAAATATTGGACAGTATAAAAGCATGGAGAGCAACACTGGATACCAGATAGAGCGTGAGAGAGGGTGGGACATGGTAGAGGGTGAGAGGGAGGAAATTAAGGAGGAAAACAAAGAAGTAAAATATATAAGAAACAGGAAATGGAAAATTAGTTGTTGAAAACAACATGTGTAGTAACATCTTTGAGCCAATATACAGTATATTCTGGATGGGAAAATTAATTTTGTATGCTGCAATGATATACAGTGAATGAATGTAAAATAAACAAATTTTTAAAAATTCTCTACAATAAACCAGATGGATTGTGTTGGTTTCTCTCCAGGCTGGAGTACAGATATGATGGCTGGAGCTAAAGCAGCCATATTCAAACACAAGGAAAAAATTCCATGTGCTAAGAACTGAACCGCAAGATAAAAGGATCTGGGTCCAGCAGGTGGCATGGTGGTTAAGGTGCTGGACTCCCACATGGGTGACCATGGTTTGAGTCCTGGACCTGATGGTTTGCTTTCTTACTTTCCTTCTCCCTCTCTGTCTCTCTATCTCTCTCTAGTGAACACATATGCCCAATAATAATAATAATAATAATAATAATAATAAATAATGATTCTTAAAAAAAGATAGAAGGATCTTTAGTCTCTGAGATCCACCCAACTTTGCTTTCTTTGCATGAAATACACTTCTACCTACCTTATTTAAGCACTGTTACTATTTTAGACACTTCCAAATTTTTTGGTGAAATAAATCATAGTACGTACATTACATTGAACATTATACAACTCTTAAAACAAAAAGGAGTCAATGGGGCCAGCAGGTGATGTTGAGATTGAGGTGCTGGATCCCATATGGCCAGTTTCACCAGTCGAGTCCTGGACTTGGCAGCTTGAAAATCACACTGGGCACATGTGTGTCCATGTCCCAAATCCCAAGAGTAGACTGGAGGACAAGGAACTGTGGCATGGCCATTCCTCCTGGGGGGTAATTTCTTACTTTCCCTCTCTCTCTTTCTGTCTTTCTCTCTCTGATGAGTGCATGCACCCTATAGGAAAAGAAAAGAAAAGAAAACAAAAGTGTATTGTGATATACTCAGTAGTATACACAGGTATGATGAAATTAAAGATGTGATTGGGGGAACCAGCAGTTAGCGTAATGGCTATGTCGCTGGACTCCCACGTAGTCGACCGTGATTCACGTCCCGGACCTGGTGGCTTAAAACTCACGCGGGGCGCATGTGCGTGCGTGCACAAGATCCTGAGAGGAGAATGGAGGAGAAGGGATTGTCTCTCTCTGTCTGTCTGGTGAGCGCACGTGCCCTATAGCGAAAATCTCTCCAAAAAAAAGATGTGATTGGGACCAGCTTTGTGGCACAGTGGTAATGCACTGCTCAAAGTATGGCAGATCTTAGACAGTGATCACTATGTTCAAATCCCTGGGTGGTCAGACTGAAACAAACCAGGCATGTGTGCCAGTGCCCAAGATCTGACAGGCTGGTCACCTGGAGGAAAAGGATCATGGCATGATCAGGTCCTGTGAGGATACACCCTCTCTCTTTCTCTGTCACATGCAGGTGCTTGTGGTGTACCATGAATAAGATGTATATGTATTATACACACACATACACACACACACACACACACACACACACACACACACACACACACACATATATATATATATATATCTTAAATTAAGTAGCCTAATTATTTTTCTAAAGATGTGACTACTTGTTACCATTTGTGCCAAAAATAAAAATGTTGAGACTTGGGACCAGCAGATAGAGTAGCAGATACATCACTAGGCTCTCATATGGCTGACTGGGTTCAAGTCCCGGCCCTGGTGACTTGAAACTCATGCTGGGTGCGTGTGTGTGCGTACCCAAGATCCCAGAAAGAGACTAGAGGAGAAGGGATTGCAGCATGGCCATTCTCCCAGAGGGTGATTTCTCACTTTCCCTCTCACTGTCTCTGTCTCTCTCTCTCTGGTGAGCACACACACCCTAAGGCAAAATCTTTTTTTTTTTTGGAGAGGTTTTTTCGCTATAGGGCACGTGCGCTCGCCAGACAGAGAGAGACATAGAGACAGAAAGCGAGAAATCATCCCCCAGGGAGGGTGATCACGCTGCAATCCCTTCTCCTCCATTCTCCTCTAGGGATCCTGGGCACGCACGCACACGTGCCCGGTGTGAGTTTTAAGCCACTGGGTCTGGGACGTGAACCGTGGTCGACTATGTGGGAGTCCAGCGACATAGCCATTACGCTAACTGCTGGTTCCCAGGCAAAATCTTTTAAAAAAATGTTGAGACTCTATATAAATGTATCCAACATCTCCTTCTGGGAGGACACATGACACTGGTAACAGTAGTTGCCTCTGGGCAAAGAAATTGGGGAGCTGGGGAGGGAAAAGGAAGGAGACTTGTAACTATGCCCTTTTGTACCTTTTGTACCTTTTGAATTTGTTCTTTGTGTATGCATTATCTATTCTAAATAAATAATACCATTTTAAAAATTAAAAGACACAGCTGAGTTGTTCAGTATGTTCATTTGTTTAGATAGGAGACAGAAAGATGAAAATGGCCCAGTGAAGATGGGGAGAGGGCATCAATGTCTAGGAGGTGGCACACAAATCTCAGTTTCACTGGAACCCACAGATGGGAGAGACGATGCAAAGAAGACACTGGCAATGAGAACCAGAGAGAAGCGATAGGCCAGGAGAGATTTGTGTAACAAATCTGAGGACCAGGTTCTGCCTATGTGTAGCTCTGCCTAAAACAGAAAAGTCAGCAGCAGTTACTTCTGGAGAACTGCACTGTATGGCTGCATGAATATGGGGGATGGGGGCAGAGCAGGGAAACAGTGGGATTCTCTGGCAAGGTGCTGAGAGTGACAACTTATATCTCTGCAGTGAAGCGTTTTTTCCCCCCTCTTCCAGCCTAGGACTGTTTTTTGATGGATATATTCTTGAAAGTAGAAGCTGGAGGAATGTTTCCATTTCTGTTTATAGAAAAATACACTTAAATAAGGGTGATTTGAGAAAGTTTTGTTTTTGAGAGATTTTTGCTATAGGGTGCATGCACTTGCCAGAAAGACAGAGACAGACAGACAGACAGAAAGCGAGAAAACCCCCCCTCCCCCCTCCAGGGGTGATGGCCACGCCATACTCCCTTGTCCTCCATTCTCCTCTGAGGATCTTGGGCACACATACACACACGCCCCACATGAGTTTAAGCCACCGGGTCCGGGACTTGAACTGCGGTTGACTACATGGGAGTCCAGCGACATAGTCATTATGTCAACTGCTGGTCCCTAGAGAGAGAGTTTTGCTATAGGTTACATTTACTTTCAAGAGACAGAAAGCGAGAAATCACCCCAAGGGGAGTGGCCACACCGTAAACCCTTCTCCTTCATTCTACTCTCATGATATCAGGCACACATGTACATGTACCTGCCATGAGTTTTAAGTCACTGGGTCCAGGACTTGAACTGCAGTAGATTACATGGGAGTCCATCAACATAACCATTATGTCATCTGGTGGTCCTGAGAATTTTTTTCATTTATTTTTAAGGTTTGCTATAGTACCTATGCATTTGCCAGAGAGAGAGAGAGAGAGAGAGAGAGACAGACAGACAGACAGACAGAGTGAAATCACTCCCCCAGAGGGGATAGCCATGCCACAATCTCTTCTCCTCTATTCTCCTCCTGGATTTTGCGCATGCATGCATATGCATTTGGCATGACTTTCAAGTTGTTGAGTCTGGGACTCAAACCACAGTTGGCCATGTGGGAGTCCAATGTCTTAATCACTATGCCACATGTTGGCCCCCAATTTGTTGTTAAGAGTTTTAATTTTTATATTTATTTCTTCCTTATTTAAAAAAAAAAATTGCCACAGAGTACATGTGCTTGCCAGAGAGAGATAAGACAGAGAGAAAGGGAAAGGGAGAAAGCACCCTAACCTCATGAAGCATGGTTATGTCGCGATTTTCTCTCTTCCATTTCTCCATCCTGTTGGGATTTTGGGCACACATGCACATATACCTGACATGTTTTTTAAGGTTCTGGTGCTGAGGTTCAAACCATGTGATCAGTCATTTGAGATCTGGCTCCCTTAACCACTAGGCCCAGGGGTCAGCTCTTGAATAGTTAAACATGCCAAAAAGATAGGTTGAACAGTGGCACAGAGTCAAAACACAATGCTCTATAAAACCCTCAGTCAGAAAAAGTTGCACTTCCATGTTTATTGCAGCATTATTTACAATCACTAGGACATGGAGTCAACCCAAATGTCTAAAAATAGATGATTGGATTGAAAAACTGTGGCATATGTACTCTAAGAACTACTAAACCATTAAAAAAAGCAATGAGACCCTGACAGTTGATACAAAGTGAATGAATATGGAAGATTTAATGCTAAGCAAAGCAAGCCAGACTAGGAAAGACAGACTTTGTATATCCCAGCTAGATATATACAGAAAGCCTGAGCTCTATGGCAGAAACTGAAAGCTTTAGAAGGTATTGTAGCAGGGAGGGCAACTGTAGATACTATAGATAGGATAGGGGTAGCACAGAGTGGGTAACAGAGGGAGGGGAATAGGGGAAGAAAAATATATTTAATTGACAGAAAAATAAAAAGCTATTTGCTGATGATAATGTATATAGCAATGTTTTTGTCTTGACTGATACACATGGGTGCGGGAAAAAGCAATGTTGTACACTAAAGATACATGTAATTAAATGTAAATTTAAATTTAAAAAGTTACTTAATAAAAAACAAAAAAAACCCCACAAAAACAAAAAACAATGCTCTGTAAGCTGACCCACATAAGAAAGTTCCAGGTTAGCATCTGGAGACTTCCCTGTGTGTGCTGATTGAATGGGTACCTGTGATCTGGGGAGGGTCGAGGCTGGGAGCGGATCCTGGCATCAGGACCTTGTTTGGGGTGCTGTCTTTCTGTCTCACTGAGGGAAGAAAGGAAGAAACAAACTAAAAAAAAGAAAATAGATGCCAAAAGGAAGTGAGGAGTCATACCTGTCAGACATAACCTGTAGTGTAGCACCAAGTAAGAACAAGAGTTACGCTTCGGACAATTGCACTAGGGAAACTGGGCCAGTGCTGCTTGAGACAAACAGCTAAACAAAGTTGGACCAAATGAGTAAAGAAACTCCGGTTAGGCTCATCACTATGACTTGCCCAATTAGTATGAACCAAGTTGCTATCATATACATAGTTGGAAGTTTAAGGCTGATTTTAGGGCCAGCTGGTGGCATGGTAGTTAAGGCAGCTGATTCCCTTAAATATGACTGACTGTGTAGTTTGAGTCCTGGATGGTTGGAGTGACTATCCCCCATACAGGATGTTTTCTCACTATCGTTTTTTTCTCTCTCCTTCTCCCTCTCTGTCTCTCTCTGGCAAGCAGATGCACTTCTGGCAAATTAAGGAAAAAAATGGGTTTAAGAAAAACTGGCAATGACAAGTACTGCTGAAACTATGGAACAATTGAAGTTCCTATACATTGCTGGTGGGAATGTAAATTGTGTACCCACTCCAAGGAACAATTTTATCCTTTTTTGTCTGTTTTATTTTGCAAGATTTACACATAGCATAGACCAAGAATTTCAACTTGCTAGGTTTTTATGCCCCCTGAAATGAAAACTTGGGTTCACACAATCCCTAAATGTGCACATTTTTAGTGGCTTTATTTATGACTGTCAAAAAATTGGAAACAACCGGGACCAGCAGTTAGCGTAATGGCTATGTCGCTGGACTCCCATGTAGTCGACTGTGGTTCGCGTCCTGGACCCGGTGGCTTAAAACTCACGCCGGGTGCGTGTGCGTGTGTGCCCAAGATCCCGAGAGGAGACTGGAGGAGAAGGGATTGCAGCATGGCCATCTCCCCTGGGGGGTGATTTCTCGCTTTCTGTCTCTCTGTCTCTCTCTGTCTGGCGAGCGCACGCGCCCTATAGCAAAAACCTCTCCAAAAAAAAAAAAAAAAAATTGGAAACAACCCAAATGTCCTTTAAGTGGCAAGTGGACATACAGATGGTGGTATAATTAAATACTATTCAATAATAAATGAAACTATTGGTAACACAACATAGATGAATTTTAAATACATTATGCAAAGTGAAAGAGGCCAGACCCGAAAGACCACACACTATATGCTTGTATTTATATGTCATTTTAGAAAAGACAACCTATAGAAACAGAATATAGATTAGTGGTAGCCAGGGGTTAGAGATGGAGAGGGGATTATTTACTCCAAAGGGGGATAGGAGAATTTTGTGGGCATGGTTCTCTTCAGTATCTTTACTGTATTGGTAACTACACAACTATGCATTCACCAAAACTCATAGAACTGTACACTGAAAACTGTGAATATTATTGTATGAAAAGGATGCCTCAATATGCTTTTTTTTTAACAGTTTATTTCTGTCATGAGAGAAAGAACAGAAAGAGAAAGAAAAACAGCTTCAACACACTCCCTCGCCATGATCTGCTACTCTGCCACCAACCAGTCTTCCCAGACAGCGAAGATTGTGGTGTGGGTGCCTGGCACGTATAGGTCAACTGGGAGACCAAAGCTGCGATTTCCACATGGGTCTAGCATTGCTTGAACAGTATGTCTCTGCTGCACCCCTGAGACTGCCTCTACCTGGCTTTAAAATAAAAAACCTATCCCTCAAGGGAGGTTTCTGGGATGGTGGAAATACTCTAAATCGAATCTGAGTGGTGATGACATGGGTATATACATACAAAACAATTCGTGCAGGTGTACATTCAACATATGTGCACTCTACTCCACTGAAAGTATTTTGTATCTTTTTAAAAAAATAAATGAAATAAATGTCTGGATGTATCTATCACTTACAACTCAAAAAAAAATAGAGTTTATCTGAGTGAATGAGATGAGCTGATGGTGGTACGGTGGTAAAAAGCAATGCTCTGTGAAGTGATCGCATATGGAAAGGTTCCAGGTTCAGGCCCAGTGACCTCCCTGGATACACTGAGCTCACATGATCCAGTTTGGCAGAAGCTGGGGTTGAATTGCAGCCTGGGGACCCTGTTGGGGATGCTGTTTCTCGCTCTCTTTCTTTCTTCTTTTTAAAAAATTATTTTATTTAACTTTATTTATTATTTATTCATTTGTTTATTTAAATTTGACCAGAGAGGGATAGAGTGAGAGAGAGAAAGAGAAAGTGAGAAAGCAAGCCGCCTGGTAAAGGACTTGAACCACGGCCGGCCATGTGGGAATCCAATGCCTTTAACCACCATGCCACCTGCCGGCCCCCTCTCGCTCTCTTTCAAACACACTCATGGAAGAAAAAATGAATAAACTAAAATATAAAAAGACAGAGAGAGAGAAAGGGAGAGAGAGAGAGAGAGGGAGAGAGAGAGAGAGAGGGAGAGAGAGAGAGAGAATGGATGCTGGGAAAGAGGATCAAATGATTCTCTACACTCCTGTTGGGTATGACATAAGACCCTGAGTATGATGCTTGGTGACAGCAGGAAGGCAGGCTGTGGACACTAAAGACGAATGTCACCAATGCCACAGTCTTGATTAAAACTGCCCCTGTGACCAGCCAGCAGTTAGCGTAATGGCTATGTCGCTGAACTCCCATGTAGCCGACCCGGTGGCTTAAACTTATGCCAGGTGTGTGCGCGTGCGTGCCCAAGATCCCGTGAGGAGAAGGGATTGCGGTGTGGCCATCCCCCTGGGGGGTGATTTCTCACTTTCTATCTCTCTGTCTCTGTCTTTCTGGTGAGCGCATGCGCCTATAGCAAAAACCTCTCCAAAAAAAAGAAAGAAAGAAAGAAAAGAAGACTGCCCCTTTGTATCCATGTGCACTTTTTTACTTGTTTTGTTTCATTTTGCCTTTTCCTCTCTCTACTTAGGTCTGTTGCTGGCAGCTGTTTTCCCATTTCTAGCAATTTCTGCTGAGGAGGAGGGGCTGAAGTTCAGGCCCAAGCTCAAAGGATATAAATAACCAGTTCATACTCTCGATTTAATACCTAGAAGCTACATGGCATTCAGCAAATTTCTTCATTATTTTCTCATCTGGAAGATGTCTTCTGAGTCACATGTATATACAAAAGTTTCAGTACCTCTGCAGTCTTCATGAACATTACAAATCTATCAGCAATGATTTTGAAACACCTCATTTTGTACTAACACTCTTTTTTGAGCATTTGAATGATTTTCGAAGTGTACTTTCTGGAGCAGTAACAATGAACTGTAAGATCTCCATGGCCTCATTATCAAGTCATCTGCACAGGGCCAATTGATTGGGAGGATATCAATTCTGTAAATCCTTCCCTGGAGTGCAGTGGGGGCAGAGGCCCGCTTAGTTATTTTGTACAGAGTAAAGACTGCTGCAGCTTCTAAGTCTCCTGGAAACACACAAAAGTTAAAAATGTGTGCCTGTCTCCTACTGGCAATCCACATTTGTGCAAGCACGGGGGAGGCCCCTCTGCATGGATCAAGAATACCTCCCGACTGCTGAGATCCGGGAAGGAAGCCTACCTACACACAATCTGGAATACAAGAGTTTTAGGGGAGGGGGGGTAGGCAGGTGGAATTTATTTCCAGGTTGTCAGTCACTCAAAGCTTTTCAGAGTCAATGTCTCTAGGGCACTCTTGTGCATCTCACCATTTAACCCACTGCCGTGAAGCCCTGGACTTTATCCCAGAACTGCAAAATGAGAGCCTGGTCCAGAGCTGTCCGTTCCAGGCCTCTGGGTCCGCTTCACTTTGACTGGACACTCCACCATCTGCCTTTCAGCTTACAAACGCTTCCTTCTTTTGTCCCAGGAATGCAATTAAGCAAGTTAGCTGGAGCTGTGCCTTTAGTACTCTTACCCAAGGTTTAAACCATTGTAAGGTAGGTTAACAGGGTAAAAGTTTAATCGAGTGAATTAGATGAACAAAGTATTTAGTTTCTTGGCTCAGTTTTGCACTGTAGCATTTGTCCCCTGGTGTAGAGAGACTGCAGTTTACTATCCTGCCATCTTCTATACTGTATTGAATTACCAATATAATTGTAATCAGCACTTCTGGAAAGTGCTGATGGCCTATTTTGTACTTGTTTGTGTTAATCAATGTTAATTACAAAGCAAGCACAGGGGTTAACGAATTGTAATAGGCTTAATTAAGCTTGTCAGTAATAAATGGCATAACCTTTATGCTATAGCCTCGTTAAAGGAAGGAAAAAGGCCAGAAAATCATCAGTTAGAAATTCATATTTCTATACTGTCCACCTACAGAAACAGAACAGTCTAATGACTTTTTTGGTTTTGCTAATTGGCAGTTGGATACTTACTAAGTTCGGTAGTAAAGAGAACTATAAGACTGCTTTTACTCTTAAACAATTTGTAATCTTATTGGAAGAGATATACAGAAAACCAAGTTTTTAAACGCTCTAATGAATCATGGAAGAGTAGTATTCCATACTACAAAGCTTTTCGAAGAGGGAGCGATGATTGTTAGTTGGAGCAGTGGAAGAAAATTAGGGAAGGTAGAACTCAACTGAATGGTGGAAGGAAGAAGGCATTCCTACTGGATGCACAGCTGAAGTGAGGTTTGGGAGAGGGAATGCAGAGATTGTGCTCAGAGAGCATCCATTCTGTGAACCTGCCTCATTGACTGAAGTTTGAGAGGGGTGGAAATGGGCGTCCAGGGTCACACTGCCTATTTAAACCATGGTCTTCTCATCTCTAAAATAAGAATTGACTATAAAGGTTCAACTGTTTCTGTTTGAAACAATTAGGTTGTTAGAAAAGTCATGACATATTTTTTCTATGTTTTTCCATGCAAAAATGAATCATGACTTTTCCAACAACTCAATTTAACTCCAAAGGCCTTTGAGCAGAGCCCCAGCCCACAGGATGTCTTTTAATATTTTTTTCCCAAAAGTCACTTTTATTTCCACATGATTAAAAAGACTCCTGATTGCCTTTTCTC